AAAAAGAAGCAAACACACCCAAGAAGGGTAAGCAATAATCAAACTCGGGGCTGAAATTGATAAAAGAGAAACAAAGAGAACAATACAAGGAATCAACAAAACCAAGAGCTGGTTCTTTGAAGAAATCAAGAACATAGACAAACCTATAGCCTAACTAACTAAAAGGCAGAGAGGTGCACCCAAATTAACATATTAATTTTTTTTGTTAACATATTAACAAAATGAAAGGGGAACAAAACAACAGACAAGGAGGAAATAAAAATAAAAATTAAAAAAAAAAAACTGTACTCTGAGAAAATCTAAAAGAAATGGCCAATTTACTTGATAGATATCACTTACCCAAATTAAATCAAGATAAGATAAACAATTTAAATAAACCTATAACCCCTAAGGAAATAGAAGCAGTCATTAAAAGTCTCCCAACCAAAAAAAGCCCAGGGCCAAATGGTTTTAGCACAGAAATCTAACAGACTTTTAAAGAAGAGCTAATATCAATACTCCTCAAATTATTCCACAAAACAGAAATGGAAGGAACACTGCCAAATTCATCTCATGAGGCCACACAATGGACTATTACTCAGCTGTTAAAAAAAAAAAAAATGACATTGCTGGGCACACACCTTTGATCCCAGTACTTCGGAGGCAGAGGCAAGCTGATCTCTGAGTCTGAGGACAGCCAGAGTTATACAGAGACCCTGTCTTGAAAAAAACAAAACCAAAAACAAACCATGAAAATTTCAGGCAAATGTGGAACTAGGAAAAAAAAAAATCATTCTGAATGCGGTAACCCAGATCCAGGAAGAGAAACAGTATGTACTCACTTACAAGTGGATATCAGCTGTAAAATACAGGATAGCCATGCTACAATCCACAGACCCAGAGAAGCTAAGCAGCAAGGAGGGCTCAAGGGGGTGGGGGTGAATCTGTGAAGGGGAAAGAGAATAGACAATTTGGGTGGATAGGGGAAGGAAAAATGGGGTAGATCCCACAGGTGGACTGGTGGCAGCTGGGAACAGGAACAGGAGGGATCAGGTTAGGGGAGGATGGAGAAAGAAAGTACTGGGAAAGACAACTAAATTGGTGGGGGAGGGGGGTCATCTCTGGAATGAGTTAGAAAACTAGTGCAATGGAAATTCCCAGGAATCTCTGACAGTGACCCTAGCTAAGACTCTTAGCAATGGGTTATACGGAGCCTGAACCAGCCATCTCCTCTAACCAAGCAAGACTTCTTGGAGGGACTGGGACACCAATCCAGCTACAAAACCTTCCATCTACAATTTGTCCTGCCTACAAGACATTCCGGGGTAAAGGTAGTGAAGAAATTGTGGAAGTGGCCAACCAATGTCTGGTCCAGCTTAAGACCCTTGCCATGAGAGGGAGCCCTTTCCTGACACTGCCTGAATGGCAGGATCCAGAGACTGGATGGCCCGGAGACCTAGGATATGACTGGCAAGGGAAAAAAAAAAAAAGTCAATGAAATGATTCCTAATGATATTCTGCTATACTCAAAGATTGGTGCCTAGCACAATTGTCATCAGAGAGGCTTCAACCATCAACTGATGGAAACAGATGCAGAGACCCACAGAGGGAGCAGAATAATTGTAGAAGTCATAAGAGTCAAGGACACCATAAGAAAACCCATAGAATCAACTAACCAGGCTCATACGGGCTCACAGAAACTGAACCGCCAAGCAGAGAGCCTGCATGGGACTGACCTAGACCCTCTGCAAATATGTTACAATTGTATAGCTTTGTCTTCTTGTGGGACTCAAACAGTGGAAGCAGAGGCTGTCACTGACTCAGTTGCTTGCTTTTTGGACCCTTTTCCTCTACTGGGTTGCTCATTCAGCCTTAATAGGAGAGGAGGTACCTAATCTTACAGCAACTTGATATGCAATGGCTGGTTGAGATCCCTGGGAGGCCTATCCTTTCCTGAAAAGAAACAGAGGAGAAACAGATTGGAGGGCAGGCCAGGTAGGAGTAAAGGAGGGAGAAAAACTGCAGTTGGAATGTAAATTAATTAATTAATTTAAATAAATAAACAAACAAAATTGGGCAGGTAGGAAAGTGGGGGTAGACCTGGAAACAGTTGAGGGAGGGGTAAATATGATCAAAAAATTTTAAAACTCAAAAACTAATAAAAAGTTTAAAAATAAAAAAATAAATGGTAAATTTCAGAAATGAACAATTTATAAGTTTTAAGTTCCATATTTCCTTATGATAAGCATCACAAAAGTCTCTTATCATTCTGTTTCATCTGACCTGGGACATAAATCTTGGTTTTCTCCAGTGTATCCATGCTGTACACACTTCCCAACAGCTACACAGTCAGGTACCAACCATATCAACTCTCTCAATATGGCGGACTTCTATACAAGTAACACATATTTTACTTAATTAATGCCCCAAAGCAAAAGAATAGTGATGCTAGGAATCTAGATATGCCAAAATATAAAAAAATAATTTTTAAAATTCCAAAGTGTTTCTTTCTAAGTGAAAATTCTCAGTTTAATAATAATAAAAAAGAATCCTAAATTGAGGACAACATTATGCAATCTACATTAATGCTGGGTGTGGTGGCACACGCCTTTAATCCCAGCACTCAGGGAGGCAGAGGCAGGTGGCTCTCTAAGAGTTCGAAGATGTCTGGTCCACAGAGTGAGTTCCAGGACAGCCAAGGCTACACAGAGAAACCCTGTCTCAAAAAACAAAAATAGAAGAAGTAGAAGAGGAGGAGGAGAAGAAGATGGAGGAAGAAGAGAAGAGAAGAGAAGAGAAGAGAAGAGAAGAGAAGAGAAGAG